TAACAGATAAAATCAGATAAAATGCGGTCAATGTTTTATATAAAGTTGATTATTTTATCTTTATCAATAATATTTTCGTTCTTATAATAAATACTACTAATAATATATTATATACTATTGTAAGGAATTATAAAACTGTGGACAAACTAGGAAAAATGAAATTTTAAAATAACAGAACCATAAAACCAGATAAAATGAGGTCAAAATTTTACATAAAGTTAATTCTGTATTCTTCTTATTAATAATAAAAATGAATGAAATGAAATGGTGTTTAACGTCCTACTGTTCTGATCCGACTGGGCTAATGAAAACGGGCATACACCATACAGTGTCCTATGAGGGAAATTTTGCCCGAGCAGCGGCACTATGATCCTCCTTCCTGCACCACTGACAAGGGGAAAACACATAGGAAAATCCCGATGAACTTTCTTGGCCAATGCAGGGATCGAACCCGCGATCTCCAGGCTAGCGAGCCAGCGGCCCACCCACTTAGCCACCATTATTAATAATATTTTTCTTCTTATAATAAATACTATATAAAATATATACTAAATATAAGTATATATACTCTTCAAAAAAAAAGTAGGGGATATTGAAATGCAAATACCTATGCAGGCTGTGATATGATAAATAGTCATGGACACTTGACATGCTTTGAGAGTGTGTTCACAGATGAAGAACTTATCGCCCCAACAGCACCACTGAGCTGCATCCTGGCACCGATAGTTCTGCCCTTTGCTCAACGTGCAGGTCGACGTTACATCTTTCAAGATGAAAATGCCCGTGCCCACCGCACTCGTGTCGTGAATGACTTCCTCCCTCCAGCGTCACCATATTGTCCATATGCCTTGGTCAGCCATGAGTCCTGACCTTTCCTCTATAGAGCATGCCTGGGACATGATCGGGAGACGAGTTCTCTAAGTCTCTAGCTTAATATTTTCCATAAAATATGGAGAGAGAGAGAGAGAGAGAGAGAGAGAGAGTTGGGGTTTAACGCCCACTCGACACAAACAAGGTCATTTCGGAACTAACACATCGTTCAATTTTATTTCAATAATTCGCTTGCGCGTAGGGGTCTTTAGCAGTGGGATGAAACCGGAGAACACGAGAATAACCCACCAGTTTGGACAGGCGACCCTACTCATTGTCGTACAACCGAGGAATCGAAACCACGCCAGTTGACTCAATGACAGACCTTATGATACAGCGCGTACGTACCAACCATTTGGCCATCCAATCCCCTAAATTGGAAATAAAAAAAAACGAATTATGGAATTGTTTTAGACGCCATTTGTATTGAACAAAGAAAACATATCCTATATAAAACAATGCAGAAGTAATTTGTATTGACTGATTCACAAGCGACAAAATACTAACAAAAATGTATAAAATGGACTTAACAGGTATATAAACACTGAGGTTTAATTGTGACTTTTGACGTAATTTGAAGATGAATTACTTTAGATATATTCATAAATACTTTAAATAGTGCTTTTAGGCCTATTTTCAACTTAAGGTTCGATAAAATAGAACCGTACGCCCTTTATGCCCCAGTCAGACCAGGGTGGCGTCCTTACTGCACTGCTAGGGGATCACGTGGCTAAGTGGGTAAGACGCTAACTCGCTAGCCTGGAGGTCGGATGTTCGATCCCTGCATTGGCCGAGAAAGTTCATCCAGATTTTCCGGCGTGGGTCTCCCTTGTCAGTGATGCAGGACGGAGGGGCTGACAAGGAAAGCTGTCTAGTCGTTCGGATGGGACGAAAAACCGAGATCCCGTGTACACATTGGCGTGCACGTAAAAGATCCCTTGGCAGTTGGAATTCGATATACGAGTAGGCCGTAGTGCCGCTGTCCGGGCAAAATTTCCCTCATAGCACAGTGTATGGCGTATGCCCGTCTTCATTAGCCCAGGTTAGGAGCAAAAAAGTAGGACGTTAAACTCCATTTCATTTCATTTCATTTACTGCACTGCTGCGACCGCATGGCGACCAGAAAATACACAAGGTCGCCGGCAAACGTGGACACAACACGAGAAAATGTTCCAAAAAATTATAAACTTGAAAACAGTCGAGTTCTTACAGCTTTCCAGGCCAGATCGCATAACCTTTGCGTTTGCTTTGAACATGCTCAAAACAAACGCCGTGACTCGGCGATCACTGGCGACCATGGAGACAATAGCACGATATTTGGCGTTTACAACACGCTTTTACCACGCATATGGCGATGTTGACGCGCTCTGGGACTATTTTCTGTCGCTGTAGCAGCACAGTAAGGACGACACCCAGGTCTGACGGGGGCATTACAGACGCTTTCTTCGTTCCACCACCAAGAACCAGTTTATCTTTGGGGTGATCTATAAAGCATGAAATGGCTTAAGAGATTAATTCTATTTCAGGTCATGTCAAATCACGTTTGTTTTTTTAAAAGATCCGTAAACAAAAACAAAATATCAGCGTGTAAATAATTGAGAGGGCTGTAAATCTGTCGAGATTCGTGACTCCCCGAAAGTGCGTTATCAATTTCGCCTCAATGATGTTTATTTACCCAAATCCACTAATATACCCATGCCTCATTTGATTAACTGAAGTGACATAGTGTTAATAAGTAAATTAGCCGTAGTGAGCTGATCCGACAGTTTACTGAACACGCCCCCTGAAATTATATGACATATTACACGTAGTTCAACTATGTTTTGATTATTAATTTCATGATAAATTCAGTTGTTTCACATGTACAGCAAAATAAATGTATTAATTAACACAAACAATCATCAATTTGATACTATTTTACCTATTTTATGACTATAATTTCTGCCATCAATATTAATGTAAATTAGAGAGAGAGAGAGAGAGAGAGAGAGAGAGGGAGAGACACACACACACATGGTTCAATTTTATTTCAACCTGTGTTTGTCTTGTGTAACTGTCCGTGTGTCTGTCTTGTGTAACTGTCCGTGTGTTTGTTTTGTGTAGCTGTCCATGTGTAGCTGTCCATGTGTTTGTCTTGTGTAACTGTTCATGTGTTTGTCTTGTGTAACTGTCCGTATGTTTGTCTTGTGTAATTGTCTGGGGTATCTGTATATTGTGTAACTGTCCACAGGTTTGTCTTGTGTAATTATCTGGGTATATTGTGTAACTGTCCACAAGTTTGTCTTGTGTAATTGTTGGGTGTATTGTGTCCTGTCCACAAGTTTGTCTTGGTAAAATTGTTTGGTATATTGTGTCCTGTCCATAAGTTTGTCTTGTATAATTGTCTGGGTATATTGTGTAACTGCCCGTGTGAAATGAAATGGGGTTTAACGTCCCACTGTTCTGCTCCTATACTGGGCTAATGAAGACGGGCATACGCCATACAGTGCGCTATGAGGGAAATTTTGCACCGGGCAGCGGCACTATCGCCTACTCTTATATCGAATTCCAACTGCCAGGGGATCTTTTACGTGCATTCCAATATATACACGGGACCTCGGTTTTTCGTCTCATCCGAAGGACTAGACAGTTGTCCTTGCCAGGCCCTCCGTTCTGCACCACTGACAAGGGGAAACCACGTCGGAAAATCCTGATGAACTTTCTCGGCCAATGCAGGGATCGAACACCCGACCTCCAGGCTAGCGAGCCAGCGTCTTAACCAACCCGTGTGCTTGTCTTGTGTAATTGTTTGTGGTAATTGTTTACAGTAGTTATCTAATAAATTTTGTTGTAGGCGAATATATTTACAGTAGTTATCTAGTAAATTCTATTGATCAAGGGGCATAACTCTGACAGTAATGAATTATATTGTAGGCGAATATCATATTATTAATTGTTAGATTTTTATAAAAAAATAAATAAACGAAAATGCATTTCTCAAGAGGCCAGTAAACATGTCTGTGGGAATTGTCTAAGATGCTGACAAGATATGAAGAGCCCAGAAGAAGAACGATCTAAGTCACATTTTTGTCTTTTCGCATAAAAGGCAAAATAGACTTTTGGACGAGAATGCTTGACGCGAACAGAACAACGAGTGGGTTTTATTACAACTTCAAAATGATGTTTAATGAGAATCAAAATGGCCAGAACAACAACTGACTTCTACTTTTCAGCCATTAAGGTCAAATTAAGGGTACGATTGACGTATTTGTCCGGGAGGCCATTTCAGAGGTTAGGGCACGCGGCGAGATTGTGGGTTAGGGGTAGGGTTACCGCTAGCCTTACCGCTAGCCCTGTTTATAGCTTGTGGCCTTTGAACAAATCTGCAGTCGACCTTAATGTTTAGACCCAACCACATGCAGACCAGTTAACTCAAAACATGAAATGAAATGAAATGGGGTTTAACGTCCTACTGTTCTGCTCCTATACTGGGCTAATGAAGACGGGCATACGCCATACAGTGTGCTATGAGGGAAATTTTGCCCAGGTAGCGGCACTTTCGCCTACTCGGCCAATGCAGGGATCGAACACCCGACCTCCAGGCTAGCGAGCCAGCGTCTTAACCACCTAGCCACCGTGGCTCCCTATCAAAACATATGAGAGGTTATTTACCCATTAAGATTGAAGACTGGTGGATAATCATCGTGCGATCAGATCCTATCATGGTCAAAACAATAATTGACATTCAAGTTGTTAGGATGACATTCCACGAAGGTTCCTCTGGGTGGTTTCCCTAGAACCCCAATGTCTGTCAGTGATGCAGGGCGGAGCATTCAAGTTGTTAGGATGACATTCCACGAAGGTTCCTCTGGGTGGTTTCCCTAGAACCCCAATGTCTGTCAGTGATGCAGGGCGGAGCATTCAAGTTGTTAGGATGACACAAAAAAACCAAGGCTAGAAAGGAGCATTCAAGTTGTTAGGATGACACAAAAAAAACAAGGCTAGAACGGAGCATTCAAGTCGATAAGATTGTAGAGAATGCTGAGGCTAGAACTCCTCCTGTCTGGACAAAGCTAATTTCACATTTCTACCCCACTGTTGATATAAGAATTAAAGTTTGTTTTTTTAACATATTTATTTTTTATTTCTCGTACAGCATAATTTGTTTTCTCTTCTTACATCAAATTATTTTATTTTTTTTATATTTACACAATTTTATCACATATTTATCCGAAAAACTGGAGTTTTTAAATCAAAACAAAAACACGCAGTAATATAGCTGCATTGTCATACATGACTCATACAAACCCGTACAAGTGAAGGAGGGGAGAGGGGAGGGGTAAAAACAAGCAGTGTTATAGTTAATTATACACTACTACGGGGGTGCATTCATACAAGTCAAGTTGACTGAGCGGGGCACTTATACAAGCCAAACGGAAGGGAGGGGAAGAGTGCATTCAATTAAGCCAAAAGAAAAATGGGGGGGGGGACGCTCATACAAGCAAAGATGAATGTGGGGGTTGGGCACTCATACAAGCCAGGATGAGAAAGGGTTGGGGCAATCATACAACCCAGGGTGAAGGGGGGGGGGACACTCATACAAACCAAGAATGAAAACAAAAAGTAAAAGTTACACATCACAATAAATTCTTGTTACAATAAAACAAAAAGAGTTGAATAGAGAGAAGGGGGTGGATGGCTGAATGGTTAGTGTGTGCGCGCTGTATCACAAAGTCTTTCATTGAGCCAACTGGCGTGGTTGCGATTCCCCGGTTGTACGTGACAAGGAGTAGGGTCGCCAGTCCAACCTCGTGGGTTTTCTCCGGGTCCTCCGGTTTCCTCCCACTGCTAAAGACCCTACTCCCAAACGAATTATTGAAATAAAATTAAACCATACGTTAGTCCCGAAATGACCTAGTTTGTGTCGAGTGGACGTTAAACCTCATCTTTTTCTCTCTCTCTCTCTCTCTCTCTCTCTCTCTCTCTCTCTCAAGATTACAGGTGGTGTTCGTTTGTTTCAACCATATCAAGATTACTGGTGGTGTTCGTTTGTTTCTACCATATAGATATTACAGGTGGCGCTAGCTTGTTTCCACCATATTAAGATTACAGGTGGTGTTCGCATGTTTCAACCATATCAAGATTACAGGTGGTGTTCGTTTGTCTCAACCATATAAGATTACTGGTGGTGTTCGTTTGTTTCTACCATATAGAGATTACAGGTGGCGCTAGCTTGTTTCCACCATATCAAGATTACAGGTGGTGTTCGCATGTTTCAACCATATCAAGATTACAGGTGATGCTCGTTTTTTTTCTACCATATCAAGATTACAGGTGATGCTAGCTTGTTACTACCATATCAAGATTACAGGCGATGCTCGGTTGTTTCCACCATATCAAGATTACAGGTGGTGTTCGCATGTTTCAACCATATCAAGATTACAGGTGATGCTCGTTTTTTTTCTACCATATCAAGATAACAGGTGCTGCTAGCTTGTTTCTACCATATCAAGATTATAGGTGATGCTCGGTTGTTTCTACCATATCAAGATTACATATCAAGATCACCATGTACACCATCATCACCATCATCATCACCATGTACATCATCATCATGATGTACATCATCATCATCATGTACATTATCATCATCATCATGTACATCATCATCATCATCATGTACATCATCATCATCATCATTACTATCACCATCATCATCATCATCATCATCATCATCATGTACACCATCATTACCATCACCATGTACACCATCATCACCATCATCTTCATGTACACCATCACCATGTACATCATCATCATCATCATCATCATCATCATAAAGACGACGACCATTAGGAAATAAGTTGTTTATTAAGGAATCTTGCCTTAATTCATGATCCGTATTGAGAGTAAAATACTGGTAGTTATACTGACTATAATCATCATCTCTATCTTCATCTATATCATAACCATCATAATCATCCTCATCCTCAAAATCATTACAACCATCATCAATATTATCTATGTTGTAATCTTTAGGATGCAGAATATCGTTTAACAGAAGAAAAACCCTTAATTCACGAGGCAATTCAAGATCCTTAACTTTGTCCTCTATTCCCAATTCAAGATTCTGTCTTATAGATCTTCTACACAGTGACTTGAGAGATATATTACTACAGAAACTAACGAATTCTGCTCTGTCTCGCGAGTGGATAATGTCTGTTCGTTCATATCTTTGGTCTTCCTTGTCAAAATTTAAAGTAGTCATAATCTCCTCCCCTTCGGCGCCACAAAGATATAACAGTTTTCTCAGTCCATCTCTTTCTTGGTGATTTAACTCAGTAAGATCAATTTGGTTATAGCTACTTTCAAGTGACGATGGTACGAGAATCTGAAGACAACAGTTTTCAGCAACTAAATATCTAATAAAACAGACAACGTGGTATGGTTTCCAGAAAAAGGGAAAACACAGGGCTGTTTGAATAATTGTGTTACCATCGATACAGGGTACATTGAGAAGACCAGTGCTACCATTAGATAGAAGTAGTTTAAAACAAGTCAAATCAAACACACTCTGATACATATTAAGATATTGTAGAGCAGATCTTCCTGAATGGTCTAACATGGTAACTATGGCACCAGCTTGAAGTAGTTTCCTTGTAAGAACTCTGTCGTTTTTCATTGCAGCCATCATTAAACTAGTTCTACCTCCATTGCCTTGAATATTTACATCTATTCCATCAACACAAAGTAAAATATCAATACAGGCCATGTATATTGGATATATATCTCTACAATAATTCTTAACAACATCATTTACCTGTCTCTTGTTCAAGCCATCTTTAAACATCGTAAAGCCAATGATACACAGATGAAGAGCTGTGTAACCCTGTTTATTTTGTGTATTGATATCTAGTCTAGGATGACGTGTCAACAGTTCTAAATATTTACTGTTTAATAAAAAGGCAGCTATCATAGTAGGTGTGTTGGCTTTAGAACAGAGATGGTTGATGTCTAGCTCGTTATTTAACAACCATTTAAACTTACTTACAGAATAATCATAGTTAACGCCAGCTAAAAGATGAAGCATGTTTTCTCCTTCAGCTGTAACGCCAATAACAATCAACTTTAGCCTAATGTAATAACGGAACACTCCCAACCGCTTACATTTTAAAATATCATGGAATAACTTAAATCCGTTGTTACGTGACATCAGATCTGAATCCGAATCTACTAAAAGTTTAAAGACGGGTGTAGAATTGAACATGTAATATTGAACGCAATAACTAATTGCTGTATTACCATTTTCATCAGTTAAGCTTAGATCAGAATGTGGAATTAACAGTTTTAATATACTGATATCATTTTGGTGTTTTATATGATGCATTAAAGCTGTTTGTCTTTCAGCGTTTTGATGGTTCGCATTACAACCGGCTTCTAATAAAATGTTAATCAATTTAAAATGCAATGGAACACAGATGTCCTGTCCTGTCTGTAATTTCAATTGTATTTCGTCCCAATCATTTCGATTAGACGAACGGTATAACACGACATAGAACAAAGGGGTATTACCTTCATAGTCAGGTTGGTTTATGTCTAATCCTGTTTCTATTAAAGTATTAACGAGTTGGGTACATTTATCTTCAAATTCAACATAGGAATGCGAATAACCTAAAACATAGTAAAGAATGCTGCGTTTAAACCCATCAACATAATGTACATCTGCCCCGTGTTCTAACAGATATATCACAACTTCATACAACCCTTCTCTAGCAGCGATAAATATAGGTTTATGTTTATCATAATTCACTTGATTGACATCTACATCTGCTTCAACTAAAATAACTACACATTGTAATAACAAATCCCGTCTATCTGTTTTATCATATTTGCCATAGTTATATAAAATTATGTGCATCAGGTTGTCCTGATGGTTATCAACATAATGTACATCTGCTCCGTGTTCTAACAGATATATCACAACTTCATATAACCCTCGTCTAGCAGATATAGATATAGGTGCATCTTCAACACTATTCAAATGGTTGACATCTACACCTGCATCAACTAATATAACTACACATTGTAATAACAAATCTGTTTTGTCATCACTATCATAGTCATATAGAAGTATGTGTAACAGGTTGTCCTGACGACTATTAACATAATATACATCTACTCCGTGTTCTATCAGATACATCACAACGTCATATAACCCTTGTCTAGCAGCTATAAATATAGGTGTAGCTTTGTTATATTTTAACTGGTTGACGTCTACACCTGCATCAACTAACTTAACTACACATTGTAATACCAAATCACGGCTATCTGATTTGTCGTATCTGGCATACTCATATAAAAGAATACACAGCAGGTCGTTTTGGTGGCTATCAACATAATGCACATCTGCTCCGTGTTCTAATAGACATATTACAACTTCATAAAATCCTTTTCTAGTAGCTATAGATATAGGTGTATCTTTAACGTCATTCAAATGGTTGACATCTATACCAGCATCAACTAAAATAACTACACATTGTAATAACAATTCACGTCTATCTGTTTTGTCATATTTGTCATAGTTATATAAAAGTATGTGCATTAGGTTGTTGTGATGGCTATCAACATAATTTGGATATACTCCTTGTTCTAACAGATACATCACAACTTTATATAACCCCCGTCTAGCAGCTATAAATATAGGTGTATCTTGAACATCCTTCAACCTGTTGACATCTACAACATTATCAACTAATTTAACTACACACTGCAATAATAAATCACGTCTATCTGTTTTGTCATATTTGCTATAGCTATATAAAAGTAAGTGCAACCGGTTGCTCTGGTGGCTATCAACATAATGTATATCTGCTCCGTGTTCTAAAAGATACACCACAACTTCACACAATCCTTTACTGGAAGCTATAACCATAGCTTGCTTTTTATCTTGTACTGATAATGTTTCTACCACTTCCTGTATATTTCCGACTGTTTGAGCTTGGTGTAGTTTTAACTCCAGCCTAAAATACATTAAACATGTTGTTTTAGTTTTAAAGATGATATAAATACAATTACAATGTAAAAGCTGAACGTGTTCTTTAACCGTTTAGTTAGAGTATTATTAGAATCTGTCCACCAGAGATACCTTAAAGTTGAACTCCGATTACCAAACTACAAAAATAATTAAATAAAAAAGACAACACCCTTAACAGTGGCCATACTTGCTTTCAATTTGTAGTACAAACATGATGACGGGTATAAGCAGGCCACGCCTACACCCAGTATATGCCTTGTCAAGCACAGTGTCCACATCCGGCTAGCTATATTTCAACAACCACACTCTCGACTGGTTGAGGTGTTTTTTCACTATCAACTTACTGAAAATATTATTGCTACACAATTATTATTATTAAATTATTTCTATAGTTTTGTAATGAGCGCCATGGAAACGCATCACTTTTTTTCCCAAATATTTTATTACTAGGTGGTTTTGTATGTATAATATTATGCAATACTATGCTTCCAATGCTTCCAAACGCAAAAAATATCGACCCGTGTGCACAAAAAAATTGCACGAGATGCACATGAAAAACCCAATATTCACGTGCAGCATTGTGTGTGAGCCCTTTAAAAGCATGTTTTCAACTTAATGTACAGTACATGAACTGTGAAACGTCAATCTGTCGTAATTTGTTGTTGGACGTGTGAAGGAATCGAGCTCGAGATGCCGAGACTTACTGAAAATCAACGGAATGAAGCCATGGAAATGTCCAGGGCTGGCATGTCTACACGTGCTATTGCCAGACACTTCAATTGTCATCAGTCCACTGTTGTAAGGTTGGTGGAACGTGATCGAGTTACTGGATCAACACGTGACCGTCAACGTCCTGGTCCACAACGCCTTACAACCCAGACTCAAGACCGCTACATCCGGGTCACTCATCTGTATGACAGATTCCGCCCAGCGACTCGAACAGGTGAGCAGTCGTCGGAAGACAAGGACCAGTAAGTGTCAACACCGTAAGACGTCGTCTAAGAGAAGTAGGACTCCGTGCACGACGACCTTATGTTGGAGCTATCCTCAGGGATCATCACCGTCAGCGGCGTTTGATATGGGCTCAAGGACACCAGACATGGAGAAGAGTAGACTGGCAAAGTGTGCTCTTCAGTGATGAGAGTCGCTTTCATCTTTATCACGCTGATGGCCGTCAACGTGTGTGGAGACGTCTTGGGAACGTCTTGCAGACTGTTGCGTCTTCGAAACGAATCGATGGGGTGGGGGAAGTGTAATGGTGTGGGGAGGCTTCACATTTCATCACCGGACCGCCCTACACATTTGCAGGGGTCGCGTTAATGCTGTAGCCTACCGTGATGATGTCTTGCAACCAATTGTTGTTCCGATGTTTCGAGCGCACCCACAACTTCAGCGCTTCCAACAGGATAATGCACTTCCGCATACCGCCCGTTTTAGTATGGACTACCTGGCTGCTAACAACATCAATGTCTTGGACTGGCCAGCCATGTCTCCGGACATGGCACCGATAGAACATGTCTGGGATGAGATTGGACGCCGTCTGTATCGGAGACCACAGATTCACACCATTGCTGCTTTAGAAGCTGCTCTTGTCCAAGAATGGAACAATTTGCCCCAGGCCTTCTTTCAAACATTGGTAAATTCCATGCGACGTCGCTGCACAGCGTGCGTAAGAGCCCGTGGTGGACACACGCGCTACTGACATTTGTGTTGTACTTTTGGTTTTGACCCCTCTGACTTTGTACCGTTGATTACAGATTAAACATCCATAAGTGTACAAATGTGTTGTTATTGATGTGTTCCCATTTGAATATTGTTCACAATAAGAAGCAAAATAAATAAGATATGTTTACAGGATCATTTTGTTATACGTCATACTAAGTGATGCGTTTTCCATGGCGCTCAGTATATTTAATATACGAACCTCGCTGCATCCATCGTGTTTTGTTGATGGTCTATATCCAGTAGCCGTTATTATGTCAACATCACTAAAATAAACAAATAAATATAGACTATTAGTTATGTATATATATAACATACTTCTGTTAAGACCATACCATACTCGAGATATCTACGACTGGGGTCTGTATGTTGGACAGATTCTACAGCATAACAGGAAACGTATTCTGTTTGATTATTCTCCTCGTTAAGACCATACTATACTGGGGGTTGAATGGTTAGCACATGCGCGCTGTATCATAAGGTCTATCATTGAGTGAACTGGCGTGGTTTCGATTCCCCGGTTGTACGTGACAAGGAGTTGGGTCGCCTGTCCAACCTCGTGGGTTTTCTCCTGGTACTCCGGTTTCCCCCCACTGCTAAAGACGCCTACGCGCAAGCGAATTATTGAACTAAAATTAAACCATGTTAGTTCCGAAATGACCTAGTTTTTGTCGAGTGGACGTTAAACCCTATTTCTCTCTCTCTCTCTCTCTCTATTAATCTTTAGCCATACATAAATGGGAAATTTGTTTACCACCCACAAAATATGCAAATGCCCTTGGGGATATATTTGTTTTTACTTCACACCTAGATCTGGGATTTTCTTTCTTTCGATATTCGCGTGTATTAAGGCCCCTGATTGTACGAAAAATCATGCCTTTAGCCTGTGGTACCTCTAGATGTTACAATTGTTATCCGATTTTAAAAACCGTTCAAATATACCACCTTTACATCATTGTTGAAATGATTTATATAGTAATGTTTTTGTTATCACAGGTTAAAGTTTACATGAATATAGTACGTAGTAAGCTCAAAATTCCCATCATGCTAACCTAAGTGACCTTATTTTTTTTGTAGAATTCCTTTGAATTTTTTTTTAAGTAGTCCCGAAAACTTCGTGGAATTTATAAGAATTAATGAATTGAAAAGGGTTGGAAATAGCACAATTAGTTGTGAGTAGATTTAGAGAATCATTTGTAAATCTTAACATATATTTTCATTTAATTTTTATTGAAAATAATGTTAATTACTAAATCAGTCGTAGTTTGTTGCTCTAATTGTCCATTATATGTTGCACCTTGTGTGTGTGTGTGTGTGTGTGTGGGGGGGGGGGGGGGGGGTCTGCGATAACCTGATTTGAGCTTACTTGGCGACTCACTCGGCAAACCTCAGCAGATTCCAGTACCCTACATCTAGCCTCGGCTGTATGACGAAGTCCGCCATTGAAACTACTTTCAAGTTCCTGGATTACCAACAGCGTTGCCCATGACGACGCCTTTGAAGAATGTTTTATCGTATGCAGATTTCAAAGTCTGAAGCAGTTTTCTCTCAAGTTTATCCGATTTTCTTTAGACAAGGACAAGTTTGCACTGAGAATTCTACACACTCTTCGAACGGCGCAATTGTGCGAACTTCTTTCTAAAAGCGACAAGTTTTCCTAATAATTAAACCGGTGTCGCATCGCAATTGTATAGGGTGTAGGTACATATCATCAACCGTCATACAGCCGAGGCTAGATGTAGGGTACTGGAATCTGCCGAGGTTTGCCGAGTGTTGCGACTGGAATTTATTCAAGGGAGACAACTACATTTAAAGCTGACACGTAACCAAATTGAAAGTAGAAGAAGGAATAGTTGAATATGTTATGTTATAATTATATGGTACATGTATGAATAGTTATTGTCGTGAATCACAGTTACGTAATTTGAATCGCAGTTTATCAGTTACTAGATTTGTAGAAATCAGATGGAATTGACATTTGAACTTATGAATTGATCGTATGAATAATAGGCCTATATAAATCTGTTTCGGTAGTTGTAGTATTAGAAAAATGACACCGATTTAGAAATTGTTCTACAAATTTAGGTTATACTTTCCCTAGTTGCCACGTGACAAATAGTGGGGTTGCCTGTCCAACCTCGTGGGTTTTCTCCGGTTTCCTCCCACTGCTAAAGACCCCTACGAAAATGCGAATTGTTGAAATAAAATTGATCCATGTGTTAGTACCGAAATGACCTAGTTTGTGTCGAGTGGTCGTTACACCCATCTCTCCCTCTCTCTCTCTTGTTGCCACCCACTTGTGTATGAGACAGGACATGCTTCCTTTCTTTGTATAACATCTGATACCACTTCTCTATTGAGCTCACATAGCTGATAAATTTGTTTGTGTGTTGTATTGATATATCATGACATTACTAATTAGGCCTATAATTTGACTAATCAATTACCAGAGCAAGTGAGAAACATACCGCAATATATCGTTATACCATATAATCTGTTTGGCGTCTTTACAGTCTTTTATTATAATAATAATTCTCCTATTTACTTGAACAATCTTCTAGTTGTCTTATGAAATATTTCTTTCCCTCTTTTAATGGCGATTTCAGATAGCTAACTTCCTTCCGTGTTTTTATTTGGGGTGGTGTCAGTTTAAGCAGGGGAGATAAATCTATTTTATAACTTATGGATTCAGACTAGTATTTCTTTTCCCATTGAATCAATCTATATGATGTTAATCTACAGACAGCCCTTCATGACAAAATCAATATAAAAAAATCGAAATAGTGAAAGGGGTGGGGGCAATGCCTGATCAAAGGAATATGTAGACTTTGACAACCATCCACCTAAAAATCATGGATATTTGTCAAAACCTGGCAAAAAATATCAATTCAAACTTTCTTATTCAAATCTATACCCCAAATCAAGGGCCAGGGCGTGTTCGATTGTCAGTCCGGAATGTCCCGAATTGACAGAACTGCAATCAAGTGATACGGAATTCTTAATTCAGCTCTGTCACAGCTCTGCCAGTCCCAACAGCTGAGGTGATGTGAGAAGAATCGTGACGTATTTTAAGAAATAAATATGTTTCAACTGGTTGATATGTTTTAATGGCACATACGCAGGGCTGTCGGTAATTTTTCACAGTTGATTAGCAGCACTGCTAATCAAAAAGTCCAATTTCACCAAATTTGATTAGCAAATTTAAAAATTGATTAGCAGTTTTTCAGTTTCAACATAAAACACCTAAATAACAAGAAATTACTTTAATTCATAACAAATATGATGATTAGATTTCATTCTTAGATTTTTTTTAGCACTGCCACATGCAGTTGTGACAGTTTGTAAATGTGAATGTCTGAAGCCAAATCTTGGCAGTGACTTCCGAAGCCCTACTCATTTTAATTGTTATTTCTTTGTTACGTTAGAAATCTTCTTTAGAAAACAATTTCGTCTGCTTTTTATCGTGTATTAAGTATTACTATTTTGGTTCAATCGCGCGCACCTTTATTATTATTAACTAGACACACGCGATATGAACAATATTTTACGGGAATTCTTACTTTGATTTATCATTTTACAATACGTTAACATGTATTTATTTCTTTCAAAATGTATACTGATATAATTACTTGAAATTGACCTGTCCCGCAACGTGAGTGGTACTACTTGATTCCCTATTTCCGGTTTAATAGTCGCTATTCATAGAGTTATGTCCCTTTATTATATACATGTAGTATAATGAATTGTGTCTGGGTAGTTCGAGAAGAAAATGTCACACGGAGAATTCAGTTTTGTTTATAAAATTTTATTCGGCATTTTATACACGTTGAAAGTGGATTATCCTTGTGTCAATATCCAAAATGACAGGCATATTAATGATTCGCAGTTACTGCGAATCAAAAACGTTAGATTTTAATTTTTGATTAGCAACGGACAAAATATGTATCGCAAATTGCGCTGCGATACTGGTTGTCGGCAGCCCTGCACATACGTTGTACTCCAAAATTTTCCTTTTCATTCGATTGACACTATTTTTGGAATTGAGAGAATATGATATTCTGAAGGGCGGTAAAACTCAACTTAAAACAACTTATTTGCGATGTTTTGGGCACGATAAAATAAAATGTAATAAAAGGCAAACATGACACAATAGAATATTGTTATCTTTATTTACACGTGAGTGGAAATCACTCCCCTCACCCCCTCCTCCTGCGGGTATCATCTTAAAACGAAACAGGAATGCTTATCGTTTAAGTCGTGTGCCGAATGGTCATGGTGCGGGTTGTAGTGTTGTCATGGTACGACCTGTTGCCATGGTTCGATCTGTCGTCATGGTACGATAAGATAACCTGGTTGGTATCTGCACGTTGGACTGTGTAGGGCGTGGCGGTTGAACGTTAGATTGTGTCGGGCGTCTGGATGTGAAAGGCTGAACGTTAGACTGAGTCGGCCTGGTTGGTCGAGTAGGAGTTGAGCGGCTCTGTCCGTTAGTTAAACCAGTACTGAAGTTGATTACACCAAAGTGAGTAGCTGGTCGCGTTTGTAAAGTTAATAATCCGTTAGGTACCGATGCTCCAGTGGAATTGCTCCCTTCCGGGCTACAGGTGAAGCAGCACGGTCCAAGAGCTAATGCAGGATTGAGACAGGACAATTGGGTGCATGCTGTATCAGGGTCATTACCCAGAGGACAGTTTTCTGTGGATATATTTAAAAAAAAACAGTTTACAAAATTTTCTATACTACACCTCTTTAAGATGGTGCTTCGCAGTTTAAAGGAAGCAGCTGACACAACCTTAACTGATGCAGAGGATATTGGAATGAAAGTTCCTACTTTTCTACACCAACAGGGATTTTGAAGATGGGCATACACGAATGGAACCTCGGGTGTGCGCCTCTCCGCTCTCCAATTAACAGCTAACTAGTGACAATAATTGGTATGATTAACAGCTGGCTAATGACAACAATTGACATGATTAACAGCTGCATTGGCGGAGAAAGTTCATCAGGGTTTCCGACGTGGTTCCCCCTTGTCAGTGGTGTAGGACGGAGGATCCGGTAAGCAACAACGCATAGTCGTTCGTAAGGTTCCGTGTACATATTGGCGTGCACGTAAAAGAGCCCTTGACACATGGAATTCGATATAAAATTAGACCGTAGCACATTGCATGGCAGAACAGTAGGACGTTAAACCTCGTTGCATTTCATTTGCTAAAAGGGCACACCTTACCTGGTGTAGATGGAGCCAGTACAGTTGTCACACATTGACCAGAAACACACCACTGGAATATAAATAAATTCAACAAATAATATATTAGTTAGACTGCAAATAAATGCATAAACAATGTCGAAACGTTTAAAGACAGACTGTGTATCTCTGGTGTCCTCGCAGACTGTGTATCTCTGGTGTCCTTGGGCCAACTGGATTTCATGGAAACACATCGCGGTGAAGACGACATGACATGGCGAGAAAACGAACCAGTTTGATTCACCTTTCTCGTACACAATTCATACATCGTTTTTCTCTTCGGAGAGAGTGAGAGAGAGAGAGAGAGAGAGAGAGAGAGAGAGCATTTTACACTCTATCTTATTCATTGTGGAAATCAAAATGTTAGGTTTATAAGGCGGCAAGGTGGAGACAGCAGTATATAACTTGCAGATTGAGATTGGGGGAGATGCTGTCACCCCCGTACAGAAGTGGATGGGGGAGAGAGAGAGAGAGAGAGAGAGAGGGGGGGGGGGGTATTGTTCATTCTATCTTATTGACTGTGGAAATCAAAATAGAATACATTCTCCTAAACTGTTAATATTATATTTGCCAAGTGCATTTTAAAAAGATTTTATCTCATGCAAAACTTAACTTGACATGCGCATACGATTAGAAATACCTGATTTAGTTTGTAATAGTAGTATGTTATGGTATTTGCGTACGCGTTACGTGCTGTATCATAAGGCCTGTCATTGAGTCAACTGGCGTGGTTTCGAATCCCCGGTTGTACGTGACAAGGAGTAGGGTCGCCTGACCAACCTCGTGGGTTTCCTCCGGGTCCTCCGATTTCCTCCCACTGCTAAAGTCCCCTACGCGCGAGCAAATTATTGAAATAAAATTATAACCATGTGTTAGTCCTGAAATGACCTAGTTTGTGTAGAGTGGACGTTTAATCCCATTTCGCTCTTTCGCGTACGTGTTAAATGTCGATGAACAAAATTGATATCAATGGGTTTTTTTTATTATCACTCACCTTTTTTTCGGAGGGCCTGACAAGGACATCTGTCTAGTCCTTCGGATGAGACGAAAAACCGAGGTCCCGTGTATACATTGGAATGCACGTAAAAGATCCCTTGGCAGTTGGAATTCTATATAAGAGTAGGCGATAGTGCCGCTGCCCGGGCAAAATTTCCCTCATAGCACACTGTATGGCGTACGCCCGTCTTCATTAGCCCAGTTTAGGAGCAGAACAGTAGGACGTTAAACCCCATTTCATTTCACTCACCTTTTTGTTTCCACAAGTAGTTCCGTCATGCGCGTAACTACCGAAACACCGACCACTAGCTCTATCAAAGCACCTCAGCTCATAGCACATGTCATCATACGTCAGCCCACTTCCCGACGTATAACTTCCCTGTGAAAATAGAAAACATGTCATCATACCTCAGACGTATAACTCCTCTGTGAAAAAATAACCAGGAAATCACGGTTTTGAAATATTTACGAATGGGAAGAAAACCAGAGTCCCTTTATACCACTGATTGTACGTTAAAGATAGCTAGGGCGGTGATTGCTGTATCTGTATATGGCCACAGATCACCAATGATTTCCCCATTGACTTTAATGTTAATTCTCGTCTCTTAGACCGGCTCTAACCTTTTCCCAAATTTTCGTTGGGTAGAACGCTTTCTACCACATATGGAGCAACACGTGGCAACCACTTGCTCAAATGCGCGTATGAGGTACATCATTGAAAACTTGAGATACAGAAACTGGAAGTAAAGAATAATAAACATGCAAATTTTCTGCGCTACATTTCAACGTAACCAACCTCCCGACTCTCGTATCATTCCGCTTCAATTCAAAATCGTGAATATTCATGTATTTTCAAACCCTTTTCTACGGATCTACACTAAAATGTCACCAAAATTCGCCATGCAAAAGGAAGAAAAGGGAAAGGGCGAGAAAGACTAAAAATAACTTTCACCTTACATTCGTGGATGACGGCTCAGAAATATTTGGTGAGCTGTGTTCATAACAGTTAACACATGAAATCATACGTTAGCACACCATCTGACGTATACCCCCCCTGGGAAAACAGAAAACCTCGAAGATATAGAAAATGCAGCATTCATATATCAACACAACAAGACACCTATGGGGTTAGGGTTAGGGTTAGGGTGGTGGGTTGGGTTGATATATTTTAATAAAATGAAAGGTTTTTTAGCACTAACCCGACACACTTTGGAGCCTGCACCTAGGAAGATCTCACACTGGATGTCTGCTGGATATTTCTGGCCTAATTCTACAGTAAGGAAGGAGTCTATAGGTATCGGCGTACCTTGTAATGCTAAGGTACAAATAGGCGACAATCTGTAAATATAGGTCAAATTACATCATA